TTTTTTTATTTTTTTATTTTTTTCATAGTACACCCAAGAATTTAAAACTACTTTCACCCCTGAGGTTTTGGAGTGTAAACACTAACGTTCGTAATATAAATCCAGATTAAACAATGACTAAAACAAACTATAATGAGGCCAAGAAGACCAAGAAGAATTTTTAAAGAAAAAGCAGATGGATAATAATTATAGGTTTTTGTTGGCAAGACGTTTATCTGCATTTTCCTAAAGATGTTATAAAGACGAACAGCTCTGAAAAGAGTTTTGATAGGTTTATAAATTTATATAAATAAAAAAAAACATTGAAAATGTTTTTTTATATATATAAATCAAAGACTGTCAAAGTATTGAACACTATTTCGTTTCAAGGAAAGAAGGGTATTAATGGTTTCCAGCATCATCCAAAATTTACTCCGATATCAACGTAAAATCCCCTTCTGTCGTTCCCGTTTGTGGCCACAGATGGCGCCGTTACGCCCACCCACCTGTGCCTCTTTCACTTTGGGATGCGTGTGGAGGAACTGTTCGATCTCTGCCGGGTAAATGTTCTCTCCTCCTCGGATGATCATGTCTTTAATCCTGCCGTCGATCTTGCAGTAGCCGTAGGCATCTAGGCTGCCGATGTCTCTGCAGGGAAGAACACCGAGGAAACCAACAAACAAAACGTGCTTTTAATAAAAAGTTTAAAAAATGATGGTTTGCATGTGGTTATTTTTACATCTTAGGACTCACCCAGTTCTGTACCAGCCATCTTTAGAAATGCACTCCTCCGTTTTAGCCTGTTCGGACCAGTACTCCAGCATCACACAGTATCCTCGGACCATTATCTCCCCTTTAATCCCCAGAGGCATAATCTGGCCAGTTGTAGGGTTTACTATTTTAGCCTGAGGGGAGAAAAAAGATACATATTCAATCTGGAAACAAAATCTCACCTCACAGAAAAATAACCTTACATGTGTGTTTTTTAAATTTATTTGAGAATCGTGTCGATATACCTCCACGTGGTCCAGGATGTAGCCAACCGTCTCACACTTCCTCTCCATGTTGTCCAGGGGACAGCCGAGGAACGTCACTGGGCTGTTCTCCGTGGTGCCGTATCCAATCTGTCGACGACAAAAACACCAGAAGAAGAAAGCAGGAAGATGAGTCAGTGGAGAAGGAGAGGATTAAAGAAAGCAGGTTGTTGTTTTTTTTTTAAATCAGCATCTATAAAGAGTTTCAGTTTTGATTGTCTGCAGAGTTTTGTTTGTTTCTCTCAGCCAACCAACCAGAGATCCGTCATTTCTGAGGCAATAGGAAGCTGAAATATTTATTTGAAACTATTCTAGACTGTTAATTGAATTAACAATTCATTTAATTTGTGTTGAATTATTGAAACAGGATTTGGTTTAAAACAACTTAATTGAATTGGTTTAAATATGGCCTAAAGCATTGGGAAATGTAGCCATCAAATTCAAACCAACGGGTTCTGAATCTACGGGATTTATACCCCACGCCATTCAAAATGTTTAAAATGAATTGTTTTGGAGTTATTGCAATAAAAGGAATATTCTTTTCTCCCAGCTGAATATTTCAGACTACGGAAACATTATTTTCATGACAACTTGAAATGAAAAAATGAGGTTAAGGATATGTGGCTACGTGTCCTCCTTTAAACTTCACGCCCAGTTGTTTATCGTTTCAGGACTTTCTGCACAACTTGCTGTTCTTTAACAAGGAGTAACAACAGAGGACAATTACAAACAGAAGATCGTCTCCTACAGGACGCTGTGGAAGATGCATATTTTGGCAAAACCTTGTCGTTACTGTATCCATATTTAAAAATGTCAGTAGTTTATTCATCTTAGAGTTGTAAAGAGTCTTGGTTGCAGATATCTGCTCTACTACGAATAAAAGGAGCGTGTTTAAGCTCCTTTTATTCGCCACGTTCCATCCAGCCCACCCTGTTTTATAGTGGGTAAGTTGGTGTTTGCCTCCGGCAGGAATGTTTTCTTCTCCATTCAGCTGATTATCAAAAAAAAAAAAAAAACAGGCGAATCCTCCATCAGCAGCAGGAAAGTTTAAACTGAGCAATAAATGTCAGGCTCTCTCAGATGAAGCTGTGGTGAGTCTTCACCTGCCAAACCTCTAAAAAAGAAAAAAAAATCAAGATTCACAATAAAATGTTAGATTTGTTAGGTAAACACTAGATTTTTCTTCATTTTTTTTAAATGGGTGGGACCATAAAATACATGCAGCTGAAGCCAAACCATCCTCCAACCTGAGCCAGTCACATCCTGCCAGAAATGGCTCCAAATTACATAAACCGCTCCATCTTCTGCACTGAGGTTTAACTGGAAATCTCCATTACATAACGCCGCTGTCAGTTTTCAGAAGCAACAATGCACACAGGAATGCAAAGTGGGATTTAAAGTTTTCACGCCCGTGATGATGGAAGTTTGCTCCTTTTTTTTTCTTTCCTTTTCTTTTTTGCAAATGACTTGCATCTTGCTTCCATGCCAGCCATCTGGAGACTATTACAGGTTATAAAACAGCTGCGCAGGAGTGGCTCCTTTTTCCTGCCTCCGCAGACTGAAAAACAAAACAATAGCGAAATCTGGGAGCGTGCACAGAACCAAACTGACCTCATGCCACGTTGTCAAACGTTCACCTGGAGCCTCTGACGGGGAAAAAAAAATAAAAATACGATTGGTGCTTGTTGCGATTTGTTGGGACGTGCGTCCGCCGTGGTGCGCTGGACGTCAGAACGCTCCCTGCTGCAGAGAGGAGACGTCGACGGGCGCTCTGTGAGGGTTAAATTCTCACTGACACTTGACTTCCATGTGCAGACCTCTCACTTTAACCCTCCTCATTTTTTCCCTCCTCAAGTAAATGTTATAAATAGCGCTGTGTGCTCGGCTCATCGGCAATCCTCCTCTCACCTTTTGCTCACTCCTCCTCTCTGTTTTCCTCACAGCAAAACCCACGCTCTGTTGTAGCTTCTCCTAACTGCTCCCGTTGAGGTTTTTTTTTTTTTTTTTTTTCGGTGAAAGTTGCTCTGACGGAGGCCATCAGAATGCGCTCTGCGTCCTGCGTGCTCTTGTTGGGAAGCTGCATCCTCCTGGGACTCCCGGGAGTCCAGAGCCAATGCCCAAGCCCGTGCCACTGCCACGGAGACCTGCAGCACGTCATCTGTGACGGCGTGGGGCTCAAGAAGATCCCCCAGGTTTCGGAGGCCACCCGTCTGCTGAACCTGCAGAGGAACAACCTGGGCACCGTCCCCTCGGGGGCCTTCAGCGAAAGCAAGGGTCTCGTTTCTCTGCACATGCAACACTGCCAGATACGAGAGATCGAGTCCCAGGCCTTCAAGGGACTGAAGAAGCTCGTCTACCTCTACTTGTCCAACAATAAGATCAGCACCATCAAGTCGGGCGCCTTCGAGGACCTCAACATGCTCACCTACCTGTACCTGGAGGGGAACCAGATGAGCGAGCTGACCAAGGGGCTCTTCTCCCCCATGATCAACCTCTTCGTTCTGCAGCTCAACAACAACAGGCTGCGCGAGCTCCAGCCAGGGACCTTCGCGGGCGCCAAGGACCTACGCTGGCTGCACATGAGCGGGAACGAGCTGACGATGCTGCACCCGGGGTCTCTGGACGAAGTGGAGAACCTCGCCATCCTTCACCTGGACAGGAACCGGCTGTCCGTCTATCCCAGCGCCGCCATGAGCAAACTGCGAGTGGTGGAGGAGCTCACGCTGGGAAAGAACCCCATGAAGACGATCCCAGACAACGCCTTCCAGAGTTTTGGTCGCTACATGGAGAAACTACACCTGGACGACATGGGCTTGGAGAAGGTAAGACCCGTTTACTTCATGGTTTAGAGAATCGATCTGTGATCAAAAAAAAAAAAAAAAAAACTACAGGAAAAGGATCTGGGTGAAAAGTACATCTAAAAGTGTCTTTTTTGTAATTTTACACTCATTTTGGCCTGCTTTAAATGCTTTAGAAGGAAGTTGAACATTTAAGTTGGGGAAAAATAAATCGGCAAGTTTCTGTAAAAAGACGACAAGAAATCAGAATAACAGATTTTGCTGAAAAATTGAATCATATAACATCACAACACATCAATGTGCTGTCATTTTTACCCCTACTTAATTAGTTTAAAATTGACTGAGTCAGTTTGCTTTTGGTATCTACTTCCATTGAGCACTTTAAACCTGGGGTGTCCAACGTACGGCCCAGGGGCCACGTGTGGCCCCTGGACTCATTTTGCGTGTCCCCCAACTACAATTAAAAAATGACAAGCCTGCCGGCACAAGTGTCTGATGCAGATGGAAACTTTTGTTTTTAATTAGGGCAAAATGATTACGAACAAATTAAAATCTGAACAAAACGGAAAATATACGATATAACTGAAAATATTCATGCTTTCAAAACCGCACTTTTTACATTTGATTTAATTTCATATTTAGATATTAACACATATATTCAGTGACTCTTACTCTTTTACTCAGAAGTAGGCTTTGAGGCAACCAAATTTGAAATTTGAATTTGTTTAATTTATAAAAGATGAGGAAATAGAGCAAATACGATCCAAAAAGTGACTCAAATCTTGTTCTTATGGCGTTTTTATTTTCCCCAGAACAAGTCCTTCAAAAATGTGAAGCAAAATCCTTTTTGATTTTTGGGTATAATGTTACTTACACAACCCATTCTCACAAAAAGTCTAACTACTTTGTTTGTTTCATTACATTTTTGTATGTTGAGCAGCTAAAAAGAAAAAAAAAAAGCCATAATATAAATTACTTGTGAATCTCAATTGTTTTAGAAATCATAATCTGTTTGGGTCTCAAGTATTTCTGTTCCTGTTCACCAGGCTGCCAATGTACAGTGTGAGCTCTTATTCAGACACTCGTTCATCTGATACTTGAGGTTAAGACAATATTTGAGCGTAACTGCGCCAGTGAAATGAGGCGCTCAAAGGGAGAACATCAGTAAAATAAGCTTCTCACGCTGCGACATTGTGAAACCAGGTGGAAGCAGCGGGAGCTGGAAGCAGATTCAGACACTTTTTTTTTTTTTTTACCCAAATGCGGGTATTTTTAGAGTGTTTTTGTTTGCAGGATGTCGGCCAAGCATATCTGGTTCTAATTATTACACAAGCAATATTTTCAGCAGCGTGTGTTTTGCGCTCCGGCTGGAAGGGCTGGATCACAGGTAAACAGAGGCAGGGTGCTCCACGGTGCATGAAGGGGAGTATTTTTAGCCCCCTGAATGGACAACAGTCTCTTTGGGAGCCATGCTGGCAGAGGAGCGGCCCAAAAATGGAGGCGGCAGAGGGAGCAAAACAGCTCTGCCATGATGGAAATCTTCCATCTTTTTCCAAAACACCAGTGGAAATTTCCGAATGGCCTCATCTCTTCCAGCCCAAGACGAAACAAGCTTTTACAGAGCGGCCTCGTCTTCCTCCTCGTGGAGACAAACTCCACGCAGGCCGGTACAGCTCGCACCTCTCTGAAGGTTTTAGCGCCTTCACAGATGCCTACGAAGTCGAAGGTAAAGGAAGGAGGCCAGTAAATGTCAGTGTTTACATATATAAGGGGTGAAGAAGAAAGGATGAGAAGAGGCTTTCATTCCAGAAAAAAAGCAAACACCCTTCAGCACGCAATCCGTTTTGTGATAAAGTTCAAGACAAATGAGCCTGACATTGGAGCTGAGATAAACTAACCGATTGATTCTCCTTTTTTTTTTTTTTCTAGCTATCTGCTGATGCATTTAATGGCGTGACAGCACTTAAGTTCCTTTATCTGGACAACAACAACCTGAAGTCTTTGCCCAGCACTATGCAGCTAAACGTCGACACCAACATGACCCTCTTCAACAACCCCTGGACCTGCTCATGCCAGCTAGAGCCACTACGCAAGTAAGAGACGAAACACAAAGGTTGTTTCTAAGGTCCGATAAGTTAATCACTTAGAATCGCCGTGTTATCCCAAGAAAAATTAGTTTATGAAACCTAGAGCCACTGACTACATTCATGACATTTAAGTGGCATGGCATTGGCAAAAACATTCTCCTCCCCAACCATATTGAGTATGAGGACCCTCATGTTTTATAGCTCCCTTTTCTCCTTTATCATGCTGATGCACAGGAAACTTACTGCATTCTGCCAAATGTGCTTAAGAGTCAATAATTAATGCCAAACAGCATAAAGACACCAGCATCACAGAAAGATGATTTTAACAGACTAAAATAAATCCTTTCAGTGACCTTAGAGGATGGGCCAAGCAAGAGTTACAAGTGTTAACCTGATAAGTTGTTAATACTTTATTTGACGGGGTGCGCATAAGACTTACATGACGTCGTCATAAACATGATATAACACCTGTTATGAACATGAAGGAGTCTTTATGACTGTTGTCATGATGTGTCATGTGGTAAATAATGACACTTTTAATACAAAGTTGTTCTAAATGTTGCACTGAAAGTCCATTAATAGTGCCAACTTTGCATTAAAGTGTCAATATTTATAAAATAATACAAAGTTGGAACTTCTAGTGGACTTTCAATACACCTTTTAAAGCAACTTTGCATTAAAAGTGTCATTATTTACCCAATGAGACTTTATGATAGCAGTCAGACATTCATAAAGACTCTTTCATGTTCATATCAGATGTTATATCATGTTTATGACAGCGTCGTGTCAGTTTTATGCCCACCATGTCAAATAAAGTGTTACCGATAAATTTTTCTTAGCTTTAGGTATCTGAAGTTATACCTGCAGAAATTAGCTTCAGGTAACTACAGCCTTGGACTAGTGATCATGAGTACAGCACAAGGTTAGATTCAAGCATCTATAGCACTGGTTTAGCTTAAGAGGTAATCAGAACTGCTACCTTTATGTGCACCTAATTTACGACAAGCGCTGGTCTGAAGGACGTTGGTGAAAACTAAAGGACCTGTTGGAGAAGGCCAGCAGTAACTGACCTCATGCTGAAGGGACTCATGAACCCACTACAGCTTCTGTGGCTGTTGGAGGCAAAAAAGAAACAATTTATGACATTGGAAGAGAAAAAGTCCCCAGGCTGCTCCATTTAGGAAGGAAACGAACCTGGGTTCTTAGGAGGAGAAATTTCAGGGTGTCCGAAGGACATGAGGGGAGGTCTGAGTCCATTACCATGGTAGACATCTGTGGCAGAAAAGCTCTAGACATTTTGGTACCATTTAAATGCCATATGGAGGACTAAAACACAGAGTCATACACCAGGACAGTGGTCCCAATCTTTAAGAAATGAAACAGGACAGAGTATCCCACCTACTGAGGGATTCACAGTCTCAGACTCTCAGATATCGCTCTGACGCATTGGAAAAGACCCGACTGATTCTCAAACGTCTCATTCAGGAAGTGTTAGTCAAACTCTTAAAGAAAAGCCACTCATCTTCAGTCTTGTTTTCATGACTGAAGATAAAAGCATGACTTCTCCACAACTTCACATCAAGAAGGTGAAGAAGTTGTGGAGAAGGGGATAACTCTCAGGAACGTGTTCTTTTGTTTTGTTTTACAAATGGTGTGGTTCTGTTAGACTCTTGCATGGCCCTGGATTGACTCACTCTTGGGTGTTAGCCATCAATGATGAGACTCAGCTGTATTACACTTCATTCCTTAAGTGAACCAACTTTCATTGTAGATCAAATTTCTCTCTAAAGTTCTGCTGGTACAAATTAAACCCAAAAAGTATTTGGATTTTCCAATCTAAATAATACCAACGCAGTACATGGCAGCCAGCAAGAAACACAAACTGTTTCAGGAATTTTAGTCCTTCATAAAGACGCGTCCCCAAGCTCCCATCAATACCAGAGTCTCAATTTCTGCTTGTTGAATAAAAAGTCATCTTTTTTTATTTCTGCTTTCAGGTGGATGGACTCCCGCCAAAATGAAACAGATGCAATTTGTGAATCCCCTCTTCCACAGAAAGGCATACAAATCAGAAAAAGCACCGCTTTCAAGCGCTGTAAGAGCGAAAAGAACAATAAGGGCAAGAAGACAAAGAAATCTCGGACTGGTCGACGTCAGTAAACCGTCAGCTGATCAGGTATCCAATAACTAACAAGCCGTATATCTAAAAGGAGTCTTGGGCAGGAACTCCTTTTAGAGTTCCTGCCCTAAAAGGGCATTGTGAAAGAAAAATACATTTAAAAATGTAGCACTCTACTTAGCATGTCGCATACAGAACTTTATAAATGGTTCTGTTGCTTTTAAATGGGATGACTAAGTCGCTTTGGAGTAATAAAAACACTTTTATGCTGGAGAAATGTTCAACCCAAACATTGAGTTGAACAGTAATTTTGATACATCCACCATTTTTTGTAAGTCCTGGAGACGTATTTCTGTTTTTATCCTTCAAAATTTCCAAATCACATTCCTGCAAGGTGTCTGGATGTGGTTTTTGGGTAGCTCATATTTAGCTTCACACATTTGTGTTCAACACTTTTCTTTCCTGACTCCCTTCTGTCTGCGTTGGCCCCAGGATGCAGTAAACCGCGTCCAGGTCACGAGGCGTAAAACTGTTTAATCTGGCAGCAGGTTTTTGATTTTTGTCATGTCTGTCTCTCCCTCTGCAGGAGGCACAGAGAAGGAGCCTGTCCAGGTGACCGGCTGCAGCAAAAGCAATACTTACCGACTCTGCTTTGAGACTGTTGTAAAGGAAAAGCGTTACGCTTTATGCTACACAAAAAACATACATTTTTCTTTATATCATTTATATCAAAGACTGAATAATAATGTGGACGCAGCAAACGAAGGAGCAGGAGGCAACCAGAACAGAAAAGTGAGATGTTTTAACTCTTCATGACGCGGCGGAGGTCTTGGTTTGATTGAAGTAACTCTAAAGATTTAGTTTTTATCTACGACTGTTGATCAGGCTTCAGAAAAGACCCAGAATATCGAAATGTGGTGCCTTCCAAAAGGTATTCACATCCCTTAAACCTTAAACTATGATGTGTTCAGTGGGATTTTAAGCGATAAACTAACACAAAGGAGTGCATAACGCTTAAGAGGAAGGAGAGTGTGCACGTTTTGACTTATTTAATCAAATCTGAAAAGTGTGGCATGGTATTTAGTCCCCATAAGTCAACACTTTCCAGAAGGTCTTTTGGGGTTTATCTTAATGTTTTTTTTTACAGCTGGGGACTAAAACATTTGCCCATTCTTCGTTGCAAAACAGCTCAATGTCACTCAGACTGGATGAAGAACAACAAATCATCTGTTTTCAAGTGATGCCACAAATTCTCAATTTAACTTAGGTCTGAACTTTGACTAGGCCATTCTAACACATACATATGCATTGATTTAAACACATTCTAGTTGCATGTTTAGGGTTGTTGTCCAGCAGCTGAACTTTTGTCTTTTACAGCCTCTAGCAGGTTTTTTTTTTCCAGGTTGGTCCTCTGACCAGCTTGAAACAAAATGATCCATTCTCCCCCTTCCTCTTCAAATGTATGAACCGCCTTATGTTGGTTTATCTAAAATCCCAGCTGAAATTTGTAGTTGTAATGTGACAAAATGTGTGGAAGTTTAAGCTTAAAGTGTACGAACACTTCTACAAGGCGTCGTACGTCCAAAACGACACAAGAACAAGTGATTCAGAAATTATTTGTCTTTACTGTGTCCTTCGTTATAAAAGTGTAACAGGGTATATTTTTCTTCCCACTGTGTGCAACAAGAGGACAAATGTAAACACATTCTAGTTGCATGTTTAGGGTTGTTGAAATAAAATCTATGATTTTATTTTCTTTCTACTAAAATATGTTTGCTCATTTATTGTATATTCTGTGTGTTTATATTTCACTTTTGGACGTGATGATAACTGTTCACATCCAATAAACCCTTTTTTAAAAAGTAAATATTGTGTTTGTCCTCACTGCTCAAGTTTGTCCTTTGTCTCCCTCTTGTGTTTGAAAGCTGAACTCTACTTTTAAGTCATTGGATTTGAAGGTTTTGCGATTTCATAGCTACTTGTTTGTGTTTATTAAGGACTGTTTGTGAAAATGTACTCACCGTCATTTCTTTGATGCCCATTTGAAGCACCACTTTCTTCACCAGCTCTGGGGGGCACGGCGAGCCAGCCATGATGCCTGCAGGGAAAAATAAGGGGAAAAACTAATCAATGCAAACAAATAGATAAAAAACAAAAATAAAAATGATATCCACCTGTTTTTCTTACCTCCCTCTATGGATGACAAATCATATTTAGCCAAATCCGGCTGGTTAAGCATGTCAACATACATGGTGGGAGTTCCGTAGATGTATGTGCATCTGACAGATAAAAACAACAAAATACCTTTTGAGAAAGAAACATAGATGCAGAACTATCCAATTAATGTTTTTTTTTTGTTTGTTTGTTTTTTAAATGGGAATTTATTTCAATAAAAAACCTAATATTTTAACATGAAGTGTATTTGTGTGAAAATATATTGGGCTGAAGCTATGGGGGAATTTTCCTGCCATAATTCGAGAGCACACATTTTCATTTTGAAAGCAGGACTTCATGTCTTTCTTCTCAAAACGTGTAACGCTTGTACTCAAAACTTCTGCTCTATTTCAAATACTCACTGTGCTCTCTCAACCCTTTCTCCTCGTACTCAAAACTCGTCTCTCTGCTGCTCGCTTACGAAACATTTTCTGCTCGCGCTTGGAACAAAAAGTACTGTCGCCTGGCAACTTCTCAGCCAATAGAATGCAAATGTTTGTTTCCTTCTATCTAGTGGTTGTGCCTGCGCTCCCTCCCTCCCACCTCTGTCCCCCCGCCCGACCAATGACGAGCCAGAATTTGAAGTAGCAAGGGTTGCCATGGCAACTGATGAGCATTGATCGACAGCAAAAGACAGGATTTTCAGACACAAAATGTAATCAAAACTCCTTCTGTAGTAAAGTAATAAATTATATTTTCAACAATACTGTGATTGTTGAAAAGATCTGTAGTCTGTAGTGTTAAATAACACAAACAGCTGAAATACAACAAAGAAGCTGTTCGGTATATTCACATTCCACCAGCGAAATGTTGCTGACTTTAAATGTATTTACTTACATTTAAAGTCAATGTTTTTAGAATTACTTAATGATTTTTACAGTTGTTTTGAAGCTGGACTCATCACGATCCTGTGGGAGTTTTAGTTGTTTTATTGTCCTGCTTTGTGTGCATAAAATATATGCAGGTTGGTTGTTGTTGTTCCTCCAGTCTCTTGGGAAAATAGTTGAGCCTTTCTGTCTGAAATTTGCAGGTCTGGAATGTTTAAACGCGCGAGTCAAATTCCTGTGGCGAGATCGCTGAATGCAGCATAATAACAAAACCAGATGTTGGTTAAAAAAGAAAGAAAGCTTTTCGGTGAGGATCCAGTGACTGAAGGAACTGAATGGCAGCCATTTTTAATATCTATGAGGTTTTTAAGACTTAAATAAGCTCAAAGTGATTAAAAGGAATGTATGTTTTCTACAGCATGTCTAGATGTGGCTGCAGTTTACTGTCTGGTTGCTGTGAAGGAGCGAGAGAGAGCAAGACTTTTAACAGAAAATAAGAAGTCTGAACTGATTATGAAAGTTGCAGCATTTTATCTGTTCGAGCTTTTAATATCTGTCCGGATTTGAAAATGACGGCAGCAGAAATCTCACAGTTAAGGCCAGGATCTAAAGTCTGCAGTGTTTACAATGATTACTCTGTTTACTATTCGCGAACCTTTTATCCACCATCTTATTTTCCCCCCTTTCTTTGTTGAAGTCTAATTTTACTGTTAGTTTTAAATAAGCTTCTTTGCGTTACTAGTTTTAATTTTTAAAATAGTAACAGGGAAGGGACTTCTGTATGAGCTATTAAAGGGCCTGTAAAATTTACTTTTCTTTTTAAGCGTAACAGGAAGATTTTTCTTGTCCCTTCAAATCAATTTGAAATAAAAAATAAACCCAAGATGCTAAGCACAGGTTAAAATGACATCTCAGCTACATTCAGGCTTTTAAAATAGTAAAATTCAGTTTTACTGCTACAGTTTTCACTTTAACCATAATATAAATAATTAATTAGGAAGGTGTGAATTTCTTTCTTATATGTACTTATACTGCAGTTCTCAAAGTTTGTAAAACTAAGTATTTTCTTCATCAGAAGAAACAATTAATCAGATTTACAGACAGGGCAAATACAGAAGTTAAACAATCATTTAAAGGAGTTTTTTTTTCTCTACTTCCTGCTTGCAAAACAAAGCTGAACAAGTTTCTTAATCTCTTCTTAAATCTATGAAACCAGATTTCTCTTATCCAAATGGCTATGCAAAAGAGAATAAAGCCTACATATTATTAAGGTTTCAAATCCTGAGACCCAACACAAGCAGCAAGTCTGTTAAAACCGTTAATCGCTTGTAAACGTAGTAAATTTCCAGAGTGATTAATGTGTGTGGCAAGGTGTCACTTTACTCTGTGGTGAGCAAATATGAGCCGCGCAAAATCCGGTTTGTTCACCTGTGAACAAATGTAGTGGATTACTCCCAGGTATTTTCATTTCAACAGGATTAAAACCAAAGAAAGCTCTAAAAAAATTAACAGTGGCCCGCCAGTACAGGTTACTCAATTGTTAGAAGTAATTAGATCCAAGCACACCACCGATGCTATTCATGGTTCAGATCCAACGCTTTATGTAATTCAATTGGTGGTTTCTGGAATTACCTCTCACTCTGCATTGCGTCGAGGTTGGCCTTTCCGTTGTACCCTGCAGAGGGAAACACCAGGGTGAGGCCGTGCACGGCCATAGCAATCCCTCCACCAACAGAGCCGAAGCAGTGGTACAGAGGCACTGGCACGCAGACACGGATGTGGGGCTACAGATGCAAAATACACAAGTAAATCCACACTGTTGGAAGGTCTGGTTATTTTCCTCTAAATGGTTCCACATTTGTAAGGAAATGCAATTCTGGGTTGAGCCAATAATCCCTTTCCCCAATAACACAATCCTGATACTGATCTTTGTTTAGCGTTACTTACTGGATTGGATGGTTGGTGTTTGTGGAAGCGAGAAATATTGCCAATTTAACAAATATATTAATTTAGCATTTAATTTTCTAAATGAGGTCAGTGGAGGCTGCTTTTGGATTTGCTGTTTCTTTGGGAATTGCTCAGTCTGACTTTGGGGGGGGGATTAACTGGGACTTTGCCTCCAGACGAACATTGATAGTCGTTTTAAACGCTTACAACTCCAGATTGTGACAGACTTCAAATCATTTGGGTATAACCCCATTTCTCTTCCTACACTGAAACTTTACATTTGTAATGCTATTGTTAATGGTTTTCCACCATGGCATTGTGTTAAACCACACCAGTTTCGACCTCTATAAAAACAAACTCCTGAGCTTATAGAGGTGGACAAACTGTGTATAATCTGTTGTTTTTTTATTATATATAACACCTGACCTTCACTTTCCCATTTAAATCCTGCAAAAGGGGCAAGAGTGGACGTAGTTTTCAAAGCAGCTTGAATCTGGGGGTTGTTTTTGTTTGCATAAAATTATATTTAAAGGATTTTAGGAAAAGCTAAAGAGCTGATGTTGGAAAAATTAGTTTAATTATGATAGTTTTAATGCAAGCTTTAACTTTAGCGCATGTTGAAATATTAGACTGATCCTGATTGTTTTAAGTAGACCTCAATTTAGGTTAGATTTAGGCTCATAGTTTAATCAATATATAACTTAATCAGTAGAACATTTTTCTTAGATATAATGATCACGATTTGATTAAAATTAGGCTAGTAAGTAGTTTTTTTATAGTAGATCACCTCCTTAAGAATCTATAAATAATATAATAATTTGAAAATGTTTTAGTTCGTTGTAACCAAAGAAGTTGAAAACTAATCAGAAAATGTTGAGTGTAGCAGATGTTTTGGTATTGAAACTGTTTTATAAGAGTTTGAAGATATTATATGAAACGTGCCAACGGTGACTGTTGTCTCTGTGGTTTCACTTTTACACACGACATTAACGGACCTGGGGAGGCGAGATAACGACGAGCAACAGGCAGTGAATATCTCGTTTCTCAACACTGACCATTCCTGTTATTTTCTGATGCATAAATTGCAGGTAAAAGCAGTGTAATCTTTCCAACAATGTTGTCTACCAAGACGACTTGCATTTACTTTGCTTTCCATGTTGAGTTTAAAAATGGAATAACTGAGTCATACTTGTGGACAGAAAAAACTGTTTATAAAATGCTGGCCTGATTACATCCTTGATGGCTCATTCTCACCTTCCAGGTGTACCCGACTCTTTTCCCAACAAAGTAGGCATTGTTGATGATGTTGTGATGTGAAAGAGTGGCACCTTTCGGAGCTCCTGTGGTACCCTGAAAACAGAAATGCTATTAGCAAATTATTGCTTTTATAAGTTCAAGAGAAAATAGACAAACATTTCTCTAATTGGTTGATAGCCTCCTTACTGCTATGGAAACATGAACCCAGCAGACGTTTGGGCAACTGAATAAAAAAAAAAATTACATTAAGTCTTTGAAGCCAGGAATGATAAAATAAAGAGTTTGTGATTAAAAGGAAAATTCACTCATTATATTTCAAGGCGGATGATTAATTTTAAAGCATCTTTCTGATATAAGAGAGCTTCACTACATTGTGATAAGAGAAGATTCTGCACTCTTGTTTGGGATGTCACTGATTGGCCCATCTCTGTTAAAAAGAGGGCAGAGGTAGACTGGTTCACTATCGCTGTCCCTCTTTACAAGACACGGTTCTCAACGGCTCCCCAACTGCTTCCTCCCCGCTGGACAAATCCTGGTATAATCCGCTCCCTATGAACTCGCTTGAATGTGAGGACCAGGATGAGGAAAGTGAAATACCGTATTTTCCGGACGATAGAGCGCACCAGTATGGTGCCGCACCTACAATTAAAAAAAAAAAAAAAAAAAAAAAAGAAAAGAAAACTAGACACGACTGCCAAGTTTGGTGAGTTTTTAAATATGATAAAGCCCTCAAAAAGCCAATTCATTTGATGGAATTAGCACTTTCTTCTTTGATTTCTAATTTTGACTTCCAATGATTCACTTCCTGTTAAAGAGCCCCCTGGTGGTTGAAGAAAAATCCACAGAAAAGCCGCACCGGGCTGCAATAAAAACATAAAACATAAAACATAAAACATAAAACATAGTTCAAAGCGTGGAAGGGTGGGGGGGGAGTAGCAGCTTATAGTCCGAAAATGTTCTTGCTCATCAGTAGATTAATCTACCACCCGGTTACAAGGAATAGTTTTATAATTACCGAGGTGAACTGGATGTTTATCGGGTCGTCAAAAGAGAGCTTCTTCTGCAGATCCTGCAGCTGCTTCACATGGCGGCTGTCTCCCGCCTGCATCACGTCGTCAAAGTGAAACATTCCAGGCTGCCTGCTGTCCAAGAGGATCACGGAGCGAAGCTCTGGAAGTCTGACGAGGGGGAAACCGAACAAACACAAACGGTGCGGTTGCGTTTTAAAACGTTTGGGATTCCTAAAACACTTTGGGTGAAGGAGTTTGAAGTTTTAAGGTGAAAACGGCAGATACTGAACAGACTGAAAGGTGTGACAAATGCTTGAGAGCATTTTATTTGCTTACCAGTTCTACTTTTTGATGATTATTTTCAATGTTCTGCCAATCATTTCTTTCCTAAAAGGAAGTTTCTCCTAGGTGCCACCAAAAGACCATATGCTAAAGTGCTTTTGTGAACAGCAAAGTTTTCCTTCACGCAGACAACAAACTGCTTTTAAAAACAACATGTGCATCTAATAAGTTACAGCATTGTTGAAAAGATCATTTATTCCATCTATAATGTCATAATAATGCCAGCCTTTTAAGTTTGCTTGATCAAAATTATACATACACAAACACCACCACTAAAATTTAGGTTAAAAATTCCTTGCTTAGTTTCACATTATCCACACTTTTTATACTCATCAACAAGCTTCATCAAATATTGTAGCTGAATATTTGGCCTCTTTCCCAGGCTAGTTGTTTCCTTGGAAGAATCTGAACAGTGCATTCATTTTTAATAAGGTTGAGGTCAGGGATATCTTGATATCAGTCTGGTTTATCCATTTTAAATCAGTTTTGTTGTGTATTTGGGATCCTTTTGATGCCAAATGTTACAGTCCCAGTCTTTTTATTACACTATACGTTTTGCTGTAGGACCTTCGCTCATAATTAGCCGTTGCTTCTGAAGATTTCTATAAACAAAACAAACAAAATAAACTAAGTGTTATCCTGAATGTTGTGATTGCAAAGAATCAAGGGCAGACTTATCTTGTGTTTATATATTTGTAAAAGCGGCTGTAAGGGAAGCTTTTAAGTCATTTTCCCTAATGCTGTTAGGACTCTACCAGATCTCCTCTCTCAGGGAACATTACCAAGACAATTCATCCCCAAGGGGATATTTTCCTACACTGGACTGCATTCGTGTTTAGATGGTGGTAAATACAAATTTAAAAAAAACATATTTTGATTCATAACAGGCTAGAGAAAATAAGTAGAAACCACAGAACAAGCAAGCAGCTGAAACAGATCAAGCCCTACATTAACTTTCAACATTATGTAGAAACATGTTAGCCATCTACTCAGTGTGTGTCCTATGAGCGTGCAGCTGTGGGGGGGATGTTGAACAAATCAAAACCTTATGTAAGAGGTCAAAGGGCAGCCCTCCATAAGGAGGAGGTTCTCTGTTCTTCTGGATTCTCCATATGTTGAGTTTTGAAGGTTTGATAACTAAGAGTCACCACAGAGGTCGCTGGGTGTTCTTACAGTTAATGTGCTGATAACCCGGACAGATCACAGCATAATCGGTCCCCTTCAGTGATTACTGAACTGTCAAAGATAACACAGGAGGTGGTGTCCTGCAGGATGTTTGCAGATCACTTTGATAGGACTAACTGGGCTAAAAATAAACTTAGACCTGAAACGCTGAAACACAGGCTGAGTGAACCTTTAACACACAAATAGACGTACAAGAGCAATCATACAAAGTCTGAGCAGAAAAAAAGAAAATTGGTCAACTCGTGACGATGTGAACTTTGATGGCCAAACGATTGTACTTAAAGAACCAGAATAAATCAGTATTTCATGACGCATTGATCTACAGTTCTTTGCAAAAGTCTCCAAACCTCTACAGATTTTTCACATAACTAAAAATCTTCATGTGCGTAGTGGATTTGGATTTTACATAATAGATGAACACAAAGCGGAAGGAAAATGATGAATGGTTGTATGATTTTTTTTTTTATAAAAATCTGAAAAGTGTGGCCTACATTTAGACTTGTTGAACTGCCTTTTATTGCAGACGTCGTTTGCAGTCTTGCCTAAAAGTCTCTATAGTAACTTCAAGTCTTGCCAAAGAGGAGGCAGATTAACCCTAAACTATGATCTGTGTGTCAGAATATGGACTCATTTCCCACCAAAGCCATAGCATGTGCTCAGTTTGACACAAAACCGTCTTTGTGCTCTCTGTAGCGTAGAAACCACAGCTTACGGCTCATCAAATAAAGTACAACACGACATGAGTTGAGAAGAATATTTAGCTTATGTGAGATCTTAAACTTTGTGACGAAGGAAGAAATTCACATTTTTCATTGATGTTTTGCAGCAAAGTTTGAACATATTGCTCAGGATACCTCCAGGACGTTTTGAAAAGGGTGACCTGACGGTTTGCACCCCAATTTCAAAAGCCACACAAGACGATTTATTGCATCATCGTCTCATAACGGAGGTTGGAAGGTGGGCATTCAAAAGTAGCATGATCTCAAAGGTTAAAACAAACGATTTAAGCAAAAATAAATATACAAATGCTTCAACTTCCTCTCACTTAAAATTCACATTCAGAAAAATTATGTATATCTGAAGTGCTAGTGGTAAAAAAAAAAAAAGAAAAATATCAAGCAGATCTCAACATGCTCTGGCTGAAGGCCAAATTGAAATTGAAGATGCTGAAATTATGGATGTATTTTAAAGAAAATTTATACACAGTCTCTGCAGAGTAGTGTTTAATGAGACTGAAATAGTGTTGGTCAGTCACAGATATGTTTTATTTTAAACCACACTGATGTCAGTTAACCACTCTCTATACTTTTATTCCAAGATTTTTCTGAAACTCTGCGTATCGCGGCCTCTCTTGATCAGAACACCACGGTAAAAAAAAAAAAAAAAAGTTTGCAAATTTCAGTGAGATGAATAAGTAATTCCTGTGAAACTGTGCAGAAATAAGCCTTTGATAAACTTTTTATGAGTCTACATGCAAAGCCTCAAGAACTGATTTCTCAATTTATGTAAGATTAGAAAGAAAGAGAACAAACTGCTGAAATGTGAGGGTTGGAGACTTAATGTGTGAACGGCGGCTCGTACCTGGCGCTCTTGATGTCTCCTGGGCTGGACGACTCGATTTCAGGACAGATCTTCTTCAGCATGTCGCAGTATTTCTGAGCCCTAAACTCTGTAGGGCACACAATGGCTTGACAGCCAACCTGCAAGGAGACAAAAACAGTATTCATCTCAAAGGACTCCCATTTCTGTTGGTCCAACGCAGGATTATTAATCTGGGTTGAAATAAAATTAAATCACTCACCTTCCGTAGGGCGTACTCCACTTCCATCTGTTGGTATGCTGGGTTTACAGACACCTGGAGAGAATAAGGATAACTGAAGATGTGATTTAGTTCATTAGTTTTTCAGTACCATCACTACATGGGAGAGCATTAATTAGAGAAGCAACCATAGGCTCCTTAATTAATAACTTTGGAGAAGCTATAACTTTCTGTTGGAGCTATTCGTTCAACACTCAACAAATCTGTATGTATGGAAAATGAGGCGTTGTTGAAAAAAATAACTGAATGGTTTTCTGATTTTATGCACTGCTTTGTGTTTGTCTGACGCATGAAATCCCAATCCTTTGAGGTTTTTGGTCGTAACTTGACTTGACATGGGCGACTGTGGCTCTATGGAAAGAGTAGTCGTCTTGCAATCGGAAGGTTGTAGGTTCTAATCCAGTTTCCTCCTGCCACATGTCGATGTGCCCCTGGGCAAGGCACTTAACCCTAAATTGCCTACCGAGCTGCGTATAGGTGTATAAATGTGTGAGTGCGAATGGGTGAATGTGACACTAGTGTAAAGCGCTTTGAGTGGTCAAAAATGATCAGATAAAGCGCTATATAAGTTTAGTCCATTTCCATTTAAAAAAAAAAAAAAAAAAAAGCCCAGGGAGCGCCGGAATTTTCTCAACGCATTTGGCGCAAAAGAAGAATCACTTTTTTGGTTTAACCCATTTAATGTGCAGTAGCAGCTGTTTCTTAGCCTGAATGTTTTTGAATGTTTACGCAGAACAAGTGTTTACATCCTGCAGAGCTCCTAGCTACACAGCTGTAGAATCACAGAAGCTTGTGTTGATGGAGATTTACTAAGCTGATAACTAAACATCCTCCTTCATCACAGAGAAACATGCTGGTGATTAGAATGCTCGGTTTTTGTTTCCCTCTGCAGCCTGGATTTACCTGGATAATCCCAGCTTTAGCAGTTGCAAACTGGAACAGGATCCATTCGTAAGTGTTCGGCCCCCACATGCCGAGTCGGTCTCCTTTCTTGAGCCCAAGAGCCAGAAGTCCTGCAGCAGCCCGGTCCACCTGCAGAGGCACCAAAATGAGCTCAACCTGGCCGGTCCCCTGCATTACACACTGCATCGATAATGATTTTTTAATGTTAAAAGAAATATGCAAGAAATATATCGACATGGGTGTAATTAATTCAAATAATACACGAGTTTCAGTCTTTTATTTAAGCTTCTGTTTTTATAATACATTCAGACTAATAAAGCAGCATGTGGCTTGGATACCTTGAGTCAGGGTTCAAACATTTCAACAACTATTAGAAAACAGTGAAGTTAAAGGTTTAACTTTATTAAATCTTTAACTTTAAAAGATTAAGTTCCACAGGACTGCAGGATGTTCCTTGTTTGACATTAACTGAGCCACACGCTGAGTTTAGGCACGTTCTGACGGCTGCTAATTTAGGAGATTATTTCTATTCTGGTGCTTTTCACCGCAGTTCACCATGTTGTCCTGTTTAACAGACACAAAGACTTGATTCACTGGGGTTGTTTACAATGGGTTTTATCCTGCCTTTCAGAGAGATCCGTAAAGTCTGCCTTAACCAAATTATATCTTATGGCGCACCTCAAGGATCTGTCTTTAGCCCTATTCTGTTCACTGTTTAAATCATGTCTCTTGCTATCTCTGTTCTTTTAAACCTCCTGAGTTTTATTTTCATCACAACCAGTTGTTGGTTTTACAGAGGAGTTACTTTCCATACAGGATATAATGCATAAAATCATATCTTTGAATATTTAATATAATTTTTTTTTGATGTTCTGAAACTCTTCACAATAAACAGAAGAAATCTGGACAAAATAAATACTTTTTCACAGCACTGTACGTATCCAGTTGTAGATTTCTTTTTCTTCCAAATAAATTACAGAAATCGCAGATTTTACTCAAATTCCCGGATCCAACTGAAAGCTGGACGACTGAAAGTTTTCAATTAAATGGAGAAAAAAATGGAGGTACTTATTTTTTCACCAGAGAACATAACTGTAAGGATAAAGCAGATCCTTCAGGCTGTTGATTGTTTGGTTAAGTCTTCAGTTAAAAACAATAACCTTCAAATCAAGTTTTACACTTGAGAATTATGCAAAAGCGTTGGTTTGATTTTGCTTCTACTACTTCAGAAATATTCCTGAACTTATTATTTCTCGTCTTGAGATGTAATTTCTATCTGACTTCATTGCTAAGGCCGCTTCATGGGTTTTGTTATTGAGTGCATTTCAGGATCCTTGTTTTGCCCTGGAGAGCGCTACATGGACAGACACCGGCTTACATCTCTGAATCACTACATCTCTGCACCCCCATCAAGGCTCTGTGAGCAAAGCCTGCTGATTTTCCCCCATCCAAAACTGAAAGTTAAAGGAGACAGAGCTTTTTTTCTTCTGTGGCTCCAAGACTTTGGAATTTCCCTCCCCTGTTTCTGAGATCAGCGAACTCAGAGGCTTCCTTAAAAGGTCAGCTAAAACTTCTCTAAAGCACTTTGTGATTTTTATCTTGAAAGATGCTATATAAAGAACCTTCTATTTACTTACATGTAGGGTTAATTTATTCCTCTGTTGCACTTAAAGAAGCAGTGTTGAGCTTTACATCACGGTATAATGTTATTACTTCATCAAAAACATTCCTCGTTGCTCTGATTCTTAATGTATGTTTGAGAAATACTTGAATCTTCCGAGCCTCCGCCTCACAAAGCGGCTCTCCCCCAACCAGCTCCTTCAGACTAGCCAGCAGCAATTAGCAAACACCTGGTGGAACTGCAGATCAACTGAGCTCATTATTCAAGCTACTTCTCAATGAAGCGCTGGTAAAAATGTTAAAGGGTTAACAGAGGCGCCACGTTGTGATGACTTCCTGAGGGAGGAGTTTCAGAAAGAGCAGGAGTCTCTAAAGAGACAGAGGCCCAATTTTTAAAGAATTAAATTACTAAGTCAAATTTTTTAAAGTTAATTTAGACATAAATCAACTGTCTAAATTAACTTTAGACAGTTAGTTACAATCAAGTAACATAGTTACTTGATTGTAACATAGTTACTTGATTGTGCAATAAAATGTCACTATATACCTGAAAAATATATAACACTGCCACTTTAAAATAAATATTTTTCCATGCTGAGTTCACACAAGGAACAAAGTTGCCATTGCCCAGATAAGCATTTCTACAAACATCCAGTGTCTTCCTGTGATACGTTTAGCGTCTTTGGATGTGTTGGAAACAAGGACATTTATTGGAGAGACTCACATCTTGTTGAAACTCTGCGTAAGTTTTGCGGACTCCGTCTTGCAGAAACACCACGGCCTCCCTGTCGGGCCAGCGCTCCACGGACTTCTGCAGGGCCTCTGCCACCGTGTCGTGAAGCAGCGCCGTGGACGACGTGCCGTGAACGTAGCTGGTGGTGAGAGTGGGGACGACGGGGGGAGAGTCCACATGGATGTTCCTGAGCCGGAGACGAGAGGCAGAAGATGCTTAGACATTTTGGACCCTGATAGTGAAATACTTAATCTGTGTGATGCAGCAAGTGCAGATGAGTGAAGTCTAACAGGAGGTGAGACAGTGGTTTAGATAAACACAACCAAACCGGTCAGACTGGACAGATAACTGTCCGGCTTATATGTCTGTGCCCCCACACACCAGCAGGCACAAAGAGAAGATGGCGCCTTCAGTCCATATTGTTCTGAACAGAGTCCAGACAATGAAGTGTATCAGAAGAGAATCTACTTAGAATAACCAACAACTACGTCATACCATGTATTACAGTATGCATCAGTGATGTAGATATTTAAGGCAGGAAATATATAATAAATAGTTCATGTCTTTATCTCATTTGATGTCATTCTAAAGTATGTAATTAAGATATGGATGTCAGAATAGTCTGCAATTGATCATTGTTGAACCTGGACCACCTGCCCTGATGTCCCCAACATCTGGACAGGAATCAGTCGACTCAGGTCTCCTTAATCAGAACCAACACATACAATTTCTGAAACTTTGACATTTCCTTTGGTAAAATCTCAAAGTTTGTCAAACTTTGACATTTGGTCAAAGTTTGTAACGATAAACACATAATAAAAAAAAAAAAAAGTAATAGAAACTCACCAAGAATTAGGTCAAATGTGAAAGAAAGTTTTCCATTTTTGCTAAAGAAACCTTTATATGACAAACACTCCAGCATCACATCCTGGCCACTAAACTCCTCATCGTTCCTTAAACTCAGACCTTTGTGACTGGAAACTCTATAAGTTTTAATTTTTTTTTTTACTTTTCTCAACTTTTAGTGCAAACTATTGTATTTGTTGTTATCCATCTTTTTATATCACAAAGTACAGATAATATACATATACAGCTAATGCAAATAACCATTTTCACTTATTATCTCATATCTTTGTGATCATTGTTTTTCCTCTTAAAAAAAAATGTGTGTCAATTGTTGTGTTAAAGATTAGTGAGCCTTTAAGTAACATCTGAAAAACAATTGAAATTTTATTGAAATGAAAACAAACCCTGGACAGAAAAACTTCTGTCATGATTAAAGATGAGGTTCAATAACAGGATGTTCTGCTAACCAGGCCGAAAGCCCCTAATGGGATTCAATCAACTCCCTCCATTTATTTGAGACTTAAACCT